TCAAGGAGGAAGGATGGGGAGAATGTAGGTCAAGGAGGAAGGGTAGGGGGAATGTAGGTCAAGGGGGGATTAATTAATTAATTAAACAATAATCGATTGAATCATCAATTAATTGATAACAATTAATTGATAACAATTAATTTTTTTATCAATTATATTTTTCGTGGACCGCTGCCGCCACGTGCGCGGTGACGCCATTTTGAACGCGGTGTCGCCACCGTCGCCGCCACGTGCGTGGGTGACGCCATTTTAAACGCGGTGCTGCCACCGTCGCCACCGCCGAAACGTGTGCGGGTGACGCCATTTTGAACGCGGTGTCGCCACCGTCGCCGCCACGTGCGTGGGTGACGCCATTTTAAACGCGGTGCTGCCACCGTCGCCACCGCCGAAACGTGTGCGGGTGACGCCATTTTGAACGCGGTGCTGCCACCGTCGCCACCGCCGTCACGTGTGCGGATGCCGACATTTTGAACGCGCCGCTACCACGTGGACTGCGTCATTTTGGTGACATGTTCCGACATGTTCTCGAAGGTTCACATTTATTATTATCATGCAAGTACAATTATTATTAATACTATTGATCTTAACTACAGGTAAAAGGTACGAGAAGAAATATTAAGCAATATGAATTAAAATTTGATTTACTACAAGTAAAAAAAAAATTTTATAATATTTACAAAATTTGTTTAAAATTTCTGCCACTACCGCCGTCACAATCTTCTTCTTAATACGGACTGTTCACCAAATACTGTAAAAAAGGAATATAATTAACCAAGCTGTAGAAAACCAGATTTAAAAAAAATAAGAATTATATACACTTATGCTGTGACACATACCTTATTCTTCATTTTCATTAGATTCATTCTCGCCGTCAGTATCTTCGAGGAGCCTTTGTCGTGCATCGTTATTTATCCGTGCAGCATCCACCTCAGCGCAAATGGGACACATGTTACATGGCATAATTATGTATAGTGCACGTTGACAATTTTCGCACCAAGCGCCACTTAGGAATGCAAATCTATCGATGTTATGCTTGCGATATATATTAATGTTTATGAAGAGTCCACGCATCTCTCCAACGCACTCAGCACAATATTTATTATCTGATTGTCCCTCTTGGTAGTAAAACTGAATGCAGCACATTCTCTTCCTGGGAGTAACTGCATTGTAGGCTTGAGCTCGGGTTAGCGCTTGATGTTCTTCCTCCTCTACTTCCGAGACATCTTCCAGGTCATCCTCCGAATCATCAGGCTCACTCTCGTAACCTTCGCCAGCTACTATCATTC